GAGGAATGCATACATAGTTTTGTAAAAAAATACTTAGATGAACCAACATTACATTGTAGTAAAAATCAATAAATTATAAATATTTATCTCAATGTAGATATATTTTAAAACCTATGATCAAACGAACAAAAACATTCCAGAATGTTACAGAGAATGTAAATGATACATTTATGTAAATATATAGATATAGAAGAAATCATACTACATATAGCTTGTTGATATATCTATATGAAGTAAATGATTAAAAATATAAATTGGAAAATAATCATAAAATTGATCATGGAGAAGCATAGAAATAAGTAGGACTGAGGAATAATATAAGTGGACTATTATTGCATTATTTTCTTATCACTAATATTAATATTATTGTATTATTTCTTTATTCATTCTTTTTGCTTCATTTCTCTAAATAATAAAGCTAAAAGAGATGGCGAGATACTATCACTGTAGATTCTAGATTGTCAGGCTATATCTGTTTGTTACGTGTTTTCTGTATGATAAAAATAATTTATTACAAAAAAGAAAAGCAACATGACTATGTAATTATTTATTTTTATTTTTATTTGCTACCATGAGAAATGTGAACTCTGACACATTTTGAACAGTTCAAATCTGCAAAGTTATTACCCACAAGCTGTTTAAGTACGATTTATGATAATTAATTGAATTATTATATTATCTTAATTTTTTCCAAGTGAACATTTTATATTATGACTACCTTATTCTAAAATAAAAATAAATAACAAGCACTAGCCTTTATAAAATACCCAAATAGATAAGGTTAGAAGAGCAAACATGATATGAACTGGGAGCTCTTCCAAGATCAATGTGAAAATTTGAAACCAAATAAAAATTAACACAGTTTTCTGATAAAAATTATTGATTCCAATATCTGTACCAGTCATATGATAGTTACTATTCATTGTATACATATAATTGACCAAATTTCAGTAACTATGTTATCAGCTTTCAATTCTTTGATGTTACTATCTTCCCTCATCAAATGATAGTTACTATTCATTGTATGCATATAATTGACCAAATTTCAGTAGCTATGTTATCAGCTTTCAATTCTTTGATGTTAATAGCTTCCCTCATCAACCTCAGGGACCTTAAAGGTTTGTCTTTTATCCTATTTTACAGATGCACAGCACCTCGTTTTATCCCTTTCCCACTTCTTCTGACAGGCTTTGGATAAGATGAAAGAACCGAAGTGCCATTCTGGACATCTGGTTTATATATCTCAAAATGGTACACTTTAGTGATAAATCTTCAGTGAGATACAGTTCAAAGCTTTTTTTGACTTCGGCCCTGCTGAGCCATCTTCCGGGAAATCCCTACATTTTACCATCATTGGAACAAATATACTAGACTCCTACAAATAGATCATTTTCTCCTTGTATAATTCTAAGAATGATTACTAAGTCTTATCTGCAAATATTTGATTCAGGAGAGAATGGGATAAAAATACAAATTGGACATCTTATCTTTTGGTAAAGGAAGCTCCTTAAAACTCAGCGTCAGTTACATCAAGAGTAAAGTTTCCTCTCTCATCACCAAGAAGTAGATTTTATATAACTCAAAACCAGCTTAATAAATATAATATGTAAACAAACTTCTTAGTGCCTGGTTAATAACCATTGTTATGAAGAATATTGACAAATAAAAACAATTCAACTTTAGTGAGTTTAGTGAGTGTCATAGCAAATAAAAGTTTCACATTGCAGTTAGGGATATTAGAACCTTAAGCCTTATTATAAATGTCACATTATTTCAGTTAAGAACAAAACAAAAGTGATTTTTAATAATAAACTGTCCTAGAAGGACCTGAATTTCACTGTCTTATACCTGGTATTGGGGCAGATTTGATGATATGGTAAACAAAGCACAGCTTGAAAAAGCTAAGAGGGGTTATGAAGAACCACCCATAACTCATCTCTGTCTTTGCAGATCCCAGGCTTTTTAAGGGCCTGAAGCTGACCGCCTTACAGATAAATGAACGACTCAAAGGCCATCCACCCTCAAACCCATTTAAACTCTGCTTTGAAAACTCAAGTCTGATGACTTGATCACTTTTCTTGATTCTGAGGACATATTTTTTTTCTGACTGGACACAGATTATCGATTACCCCATTGTGTTGTCTTGTTTTTATTTATTTGTTTACCCAGACATACATCAGGTGGCCCAAAGTGAAACATAACATATATTTTATTATTTATTTGTAATATTTATTTTATTTGGATATATAAAATGCATTTTTAATGTATATATGTATATATGATTCTACATAATAAATACTGCTCTATTGCACTATTTCTAGCTTATGGTAATGATGAGAAAACTACACATATGTTATCATTGAATGGAAACATGTAAGTTAAATTATAATTTTCTGTTCAGCAAATTATAAACACACAACAAAGTAAAAAGCAAGCATGAACACACTCGTATCTTCCATTTGGATTCAGTTAAGTGTTATCATTGTATAATATCTGCTTTATTTACCTTTCTCCAACTCACTCCTCTCTCTTTCTCTAAACACACACACAAACACGCACACACCTTTCCATGACTTATATGAAATTTATAGACATCTTGATATTTTATCTGAAAACAACTCATCGTAAATATCAAAAGCACAAAGAAGTTTTCTACTTAACCATAGTAACATTACTAGAAGAAAGAAAATTAAAATTCTGGCATAATCAAATAGTAGTTTAATTTCATATTTCTCCAGTTGACCCCCATATGAATGACTTTATTTACCAAGATCCAATTAAAGTTTACTCACTAGATTTTGTCGCTGTGTCTCTGGATTATTTACTCTAAAATCATGTTTTCCTCTGTGATACTGAGTTTTTCCAAAGTTCAAGACACACTCCATTCTGAATTTGTGATTGCTGTTATTAACTTCTTTCCAAATAACTTTTTAATCTAATGAGATTATTTTCCAAATCATCTTAACTATTAAATGTGTATGATGATATATTATTTTTTGAACCTAAAAATTTCCACTAAGCTCTCATTAAAGTAATGGCTTTGTGTTTACCTGTTCATTAAAAATTGTATGATACATAATAATATACATATTTATAAGGTACATGTGATATGTTGACACATGTATATAATATGTAATGATCAAATCAGGGTTTTTAGGATTTCCATCAACTTCAACATTATAATTTTTTGGCATTGGGAATATTTCAAATCTTCTCTCCTACTTATGTTGAAATATACAACATATTGTTGTGAACTGTAGTCACACTATGTGCCAGCAAAAGCTAGAACATATTCCGTCTATCGAACTGTACGTTTGTACGATGAACCAAACTCTGTTCCACTCCTCTCATCCTTCTCAGCCCCTGGTAACTATTCTACCCTCTAGTTACTTTCTGCCCTTTACCTCCATGTGTTTACATATTGTTGTATAAATTTTGTGGGAAAAAAATGACCCTTTTTCACAAAATAATCTGCTGGCTATATTTCTTCTCATGTTATTTGAGGAACTGCATTGAATTTTGGGTACATGAATTAATGATGAGCTACATTTCATGACCTCATCACAGACCCCTGCTATAAACATCTACATACAAGCTGGCGTACTACAACAATAGCGTGAGAGCCAGGTTCTGTAGAAATTCCCAGCCTAACTTTTTCCTGGACTGGTCAAACGGAACCTGAACCAGTGTATAAACAAGGCACTATGCTTGTCAGATGCACCAAACTGCCAGCTGAAAAATAAACCTGACTAAGAGAACTTTTCTCAATATACCCACATGAAGCTGGCCATTTTCCCAGTAAGAATGTAATGAAAAGGGCTTTTAATTTATAGCCAAATGGCAGTTCAGCAAAGGAGCTCAAGAGCAACCTACAAGTAGTGAGCATTTTAATGTAGTAGAGACTTACATGCAATTCAGGATTATGTTTACAACATCATAAGACGAAATTTAGAGATAGGGTCTTACTCTGTTGCCTAATCTGAAGTGCAGAGAGACGATCATAACTTGCTGCAGCCTTGAACTCCTGGGCTCAACTGAAGGTCCTCCTGCCTCAGTCAGCTGAGTAGCCGGGACCGCAGGCACACACCACCACAACTGGGTTACATTAAAATATAAATTGTAGAGATAGGGTCTCACTATGTTGCCCAGGCTGGCCTTGAACTCCTTGGCTCAGGTGATCCTCCCACCTCAGCCCCTCAAAGTGCTGGGATTATAAACATGAACCACTGCACCAGTCCAACTGAGCTATGGTTTTATGCAATGCCTGCCCTTCTCTTCTTTAATCACTATTTGTCCTTCTTTGATCCACATTATTTGACTATAGTCCTTCTTATGCCTTGTGTTTCTTTATTACCTCTTATTCTATCACATTGTCATTGTCATTCACCACTGGGGAAGCTCTTTCTTGCTGAAGACTGGAAAGACAAGTTCATTCATCTGATTTTCTGTAAGATTTTGGCTCATCTACTGACTTGTCTGATAATTCTAAAGTTTCATCAAAAGTAGCTACTGTGCTTACATAGTGGTCATGAACCCTCACTCCTACTCTTAGCTTCAGTTCCATCTATGCTCTTAACTGTCTATGATGCTCATAATTCCTATACACACCTCCACTTAACACAAAAAATTTATTTAATATTACTATACAAGGTAATAAGAAATATATAGGTTTGCCTCCATAAGTGAGTTCATGAGAAATCCGCAGAGGAACTCCTCTTTCAGATGTCCACGTTAGAAGATTTCATACCATGTCTGGTGCCACAGGCCTCTGACAAGGAAGATGCAGAGGAAAGAGCAAACTTCACCTCTTCTTGGGGAAAGGGTTGGCCTGCCAATAGGGAAGAGGCAACATCTGGGAAAATCCCCAGTCTTTGCCAGGAAGAGTCTCTTCCCCATGCCCAGCCACCCCATGACCCATGTCCTGTCTACTCATTGTCACTATTCACTCCAATGTCCCTCCCCCAGGTCCTCTTATAAAACCCAGTCATTCCTGACCAGACAAACCATACCAGATCCCACCAGAGAGGTAAGGCAGAGATGAAAGAAAATGAGACCCAGGGAGGGGCAACCTCACATGATACAGGAGAATCCCTGGGAGAGTCCTTTCCTTAGAGAGCACAGGAGTTTGAGACTCAGCAAGGCTGGCCTGGGAGGGCTCAGGGATGGGAGAATACACAGACTCATAACTCACTCAGAGCTGTAGAGGATGATGGATGTGACCAAGATGACTTTAGTCCTTGGAGACTAGAGAAGGAAAGAGTCATGAGGCAATAGGTTATCTGTGTGTCCTCTCACTGACCATGCTTCCTTTAGTGACCCCTGACTGCCTCCACAAGTCGCAGATACTATGCTGCCTCCCATGGCCCTGCCCAGCATATCCTGGATGCTGCTCTCCTGCCTCATGATCCTGTCTCAGGTCAAAGGTGAGATTGCGCTGCCTCTAGCACTGAGTTCTCCATGAATGCCTAGAGCCAAGAAGAGGTGGAAGGCTCCTGCATGTCACGTGAGGCGATGGTGTGGTGTTTAATAAGCCTGCCTGCAGTTCCTGCATCATCACTCCTTCCTTCAGGTTAACTTGCAGAAGGAGGCTCCACAGTGGTCCACTAACAATGGAATGAGATGGCTTCCATTTAGTCAGCGTGCTCTAATATACATTGGTGGGAAAGTGTGAAGGGTCAGTAATGAGATGAGGGGAGGGACAATAATTGGAGGACCCAATGTAGAGACAGCCCAGAGTGAAGAGAGTGTTAAATGGTTGAATAAGGGGAAAGGGTAATAAGAGACTAGATGGTGCCCCATTTATAGGGCTATTTTGAGATAAAGAACTTCTGAAAACACAAGGAAAAATGAAGAGGAGTCAGAAATGTGGTCTTCCTCCGCAAGGACAGGCCTAGGTATTCCCCAAGGTGCTCTCCCACCCCAATACCCACTCTTCGTTTTACCCTATCCCTCTTCTTCCACTGCAGGTGAAGATCCCCAGCAGGAACTGCCCTCACCGCGGATCAGCTGTCCCAAAGGCTCCAAGGCCTATGGCTCCCACTGCTATGCCTTGTTTACATCACCGAAATCCTGGATAGATGCAGATGTGAGTGGTTAGATGTGGGGTTGGAGGTGACAGGGGAAAGTCCATGCAGGTCTCAGGGGGAGGAGGGTCTCCATTCAGGAAAGTTCCCTGGAAATGAGGAGGAACACCCTTATCTTTCACACAGTCATCCTCCCACCTACCTTTGCCCTGCCGTCCCCCAGCAGGTCTGAAGCTCTCTCTCATTCTCTGTCTCCTCTTCAAAGCTGGCCTGTCAGAAGCGGCCCTCTGGAAACCTGGTGTCTGTGCTCAGCAGGGCGGAGGGATCATTTGTGTCCTCCCTGGTCCAGAGCATTAGTCACAACTACTCCTACATCTGGATTGGGCTCCATGACCCCACACAGGTGCGAATATATCCTCTCCTCTCTGTTACTTCTCAGGCCTAATCCCTGTCCCCTGTGCTTGCCTAGGAGGTGCTTCAGAGAGCACTGGAGCTCAGAATTCTGGGGAACTTTGGGGAAAAAGAAAGTCCGTGAGACAGCTGAAGATCTGAGATTTGTGGAGGTCTCTATATTTTGGATGAAATCCATCTGCCTCCTTCAGGCATATGACCTAATTCTCATATTAGGCTGGGCTAATCCATTCTTTGAGCTGCATGGGGTCTTTGCCTACTATTCTCAAGGAATCCTTAATGAAGATAGGATCAATTTTTGCCCCCATACAGATTTTCCATTACCTTTGAGGTTCACAGGCTAATCACAAATCACAAATGCTACACCAATTATTGTTCTGCAAATAACATATTACCTTGAGTGGTTCCAAAGGTCATGTGTTTATTGTCTGGGAATTTCCAATAGCAATGAGGATTTAAGAAAGAGGTTGCTAGTGAAGAGCTCACCAGCATCACCTGGAATAGCAGACCAAATTCCCTCATGCTGGGGCACAAATCAGGTGTTGCCACTGAGGGGCCATGGAAGAAGAGCTGCAATGGCCATTCCCTTCACCTGGCTGCCTCCCCTGCTCTATAGGGCACCAGGACCAATGGAGATCGATGGGAGTGGAGTAGCAATGATGTGATGAATTACCTTGCATGGGCAAAAAATCCCTCCTCCGCCTCAAACCCCGGTCACTGTGCGAGCCTGTCAAGAAATACGGGTAAGAAACAGAGCAATGGCCTCTTCCCAGTGTTTTCCATCTCATCCCCCATTCCTGGGACTGGCTTTCAGGAAATCTTCCTGAGCTAGAAAATACAATGCTAGAGTGTCTTCTCTCATCTCCTCTCTTCTCTGCTTTCTTTGAATCTCTCTCCTGGATTGGGACACTGATGAAGGTGAGGGAGAGGCTTTAACTTCTAGGCTCAAATCTGGGATGCCTCTTCATTGGGTTCACCAGCTTCCTCAGTCCTATTCTATTTATGTCTTCTGTCTCTCCAGCATTTCTGAAGTGGAAAGCTTATAACTGTAATGCCAGGTTACCCTATGTCTGCAAGTTCACTAACTAGAGCAGGAGCGAAGTCAGCAGCCTGCGTTTGGTGTGGAACTCATCACAGACATGAAGCCAGTGTGAAGACACCCCGGAAGAGAATATTCACTTAATTGCTCCCCCAAATATGACCACATGATTCTTATGTTCTGTTTCTTCCTTCCCACTTTCATTTCAGTCTCTTCATTTTGTCATATGGCCTAATGCTTTAAAGAGCAAAAATAAAATATTTAGTCTGCACTTGCTGTCTTGTATGTGCCAATGTCATAGCCATACCCTGAGAAGGACAAAGTATTCAGGAGGAGGAAACTTTGTGGGTCTTGGTTCTTCCCTATTTTACCCAGGCCTCTAGGGAAAATGATGAAATGTGCATCCCTACCAGTGTGTTATGATGAAGGTGTGGGTCTTGCTCATGTAGGATTTGTGTTGTGGGGAGATGAGGACATTTCTCCCCCGTGTACCTACTGCCCTCCCATTTCCATAGCCCAAACCTGATAATGTGACATGACAAGCTTTAGGAGGCTCTGGTGGTGTTTAGAATAGAACTTCTCAGAGAATGACATCAGCAGGATGGTAGATAGGACTTTCCAGCTCCTGAACCTTCACAGAAACATTCATTTGAACTACTATCCATTAAAATGGAAATACCTAATAAATCCAAGTGAGTTATTAAAGCATCTGCATGTTGCAAAAAATAAGAAAAGATGCATTGGAGAGGGTAGAAAGAACACTTTTATAGGATTCACATCACTCCTCCCTCAATCTCAGTAAGCACACATTCTCTCAACTTGGGGAAAGAGAGTGAAGTAAGCATTTGATTTTTCCATGGACTCAAACACTAGGTTTGTCTCAATTAGACCCAGTGGCCTCTGACTCCAGGCAGGTACCCTTGGACTTGGACTACAGCATGCCTTAAGGCCAGGCCAGGCTCTGTGGCCCCAGGTTCCCGATCAGCCACCACAACTGCAGCCTCCAGACTTGCCCAGAAGACACAGGCTCCAGACACACCCAGATTCATGTTTTTCCCCATAGCTCCAGACCACAGGCCAGCACTTATTGACAAAGACTCTAAGCCCACCTCAAGGATAAGCTAGCACTTGCAGCCACAGACTCCAGGGTGGCCCCTGAAATCTTAGACATCAAGCCTGCCCATGTGGACCCATCCTTCAGACCTACCACAGCACCAGGATGACTCCCATAGCCACAACTCCAGCCCAGCACTTGCAGACCCCAGCTCCAGACTGGCACTCACAGTCCCAGAATTTAGTCCTGTCAAACCCCAACCCCTCCTCAAGATTTTGGTTCGTCCAATCACAAACCTCTCTTGCTAGACCGGCCTCTGTGGCCTCCATCACTAGGCTAGGCCCCACAGACGCAAGCTCTGGATTTTCCCAGTTCCAGGCCAGCCTCTGTGGACGCAGTACTAATCTGGTCCCATATTCCAGCAGACCCAGGATCATGTCTCATTACAGTAGACCTAGCACCAGGCCAGCCCCCACTAACTCAGACTCTAGCCTTAGCCTCATGGATCCAGTCTCCAGGTCTATACTACAGGCAAGTTGACATTTATGATCCCAGGCTTCAGGCCATCCCCCCGCCCACTAACCCTGGCTGCATGCCAGCCCTTATAGTTCCAGGTACCAACCCAGTATGCACAGACTCAAACTCCAGACCTGTCCTAGAGACCCAGATAACACGTCTATCCTAGTGTCTGGCTAACCCATGAAGACATGGTTTCAAGGCCTTCCCTAGAGCCAGATTGGTCTCCATGGGACCAGGCGTTAGTCTGGCTCCTGTGATTACAGGCTTCAGGCTTGCCCTCATGAAGTGACTGCCTACCCAGGTATACCAAGTCAATAGGTGAACAAGAAATAGTTAACCCTGATGCCAGGTTGGTCCTCATTGGCCCAGGCTTTCTGAGGATGCCAGCAGCAAGCCAGCCCAAAGACCAAGCGAGATGGCCTGCCCAGAATCTCTGAATAGCTGACCGGTGAAGGGCTTTATCTGCTAAAGCCAGTCTATAAAGACTGGAATAAGTGACTACTTGTTGAAAAAAGTCAAACACCAAAAACACATGATCACAAATATCATAAATAATCAGGACAACATGACATCACCAACAGAACAAAGTAGAGGACCAGTAACTGACCTTAAAGGAATAGGATTTTCCAAACTGCTTAACAAATAATTTAAGGCACTTGTCTAAAAGAAATTCAGTGAGCTACAAGAGAATACAAATAGACAACTAAATGAAATCATAATAACAATATATGAACAAAATTAGAAGGTTAAGAAAGAAAATTTTTTAAAGTTAAAAAAATAGTGGCTGAGCTGAAGAACTGCTTGGAGAATTTCAACTATAGACTTGATCAAGCAGGAGAAAAAGTCAGTATGTTTGAGATAAGTCATTTGAAATTATCCAGTCAGAGAAACAAAAACAGAAAAGAAACAAAAAGAGTAAATAAAGCTGAAGGAAACTGGTAAGTAATCAACTGAGCCAATATATACATTACGGGCTTTCTAGCTGGAACAGAGGCAGAAAATGGGCAGAAAACACATATACAAAATAATGGGTCATGGGTTTTGGCATCCCATGCCTGTCAGTGCCTCACCCCAGCCAACGAGCATGCACCCAGCCTGCTGCCACTGCTGTAGCATGTGCAAATGAGCACAGATCCCACTGCGACCACACCAACAGAACATTGTGGCCACTGCCACTTACTGGAGTGTTCCTTACTGCTGGCCAGCAGTCCGGGAACACCATAGGCGCCCCAACACAGGAGGTTTCTAACCTTGAGGGCAGAAAGAACAAAGCCAGGGGCCTGATATTAGCATTCCAGAACTGAGGAATGCTGAGCTGAACCTTGGAATCCTGACACCTTCCAGAAATGAAGCCAGTCAACTGCACCTACCTTATACCATAATCAAACCCCCAAGGCCATGGAAAAAATAAACACACACACACACACACACACACACACACACACACACACACACTCCATTCAAAGAATAGCAACTTCAAAGATTAAAGGAACACCAGCCCACATAGATGAGAAAGAACCAATGCAAGAACTCTGGCAACTTAAAAAGCCAACATCTATTCTTACCTCCAAACAACTATACTAGTTACCCAGCAATGGTTCTTAACCAGGTTGAAATATTTGAAATGACAGAAGCAGATCTCAGAATATGGATAGGAACCAAGATCATTGAGATTCAGGCAAAAGTCACAACCCATTTCAAGGATTCTATACAATAAAATGATACAGAAAAATGAAAGATGAAATGGCCATTTTAAGAAAGAAGCAAACTGATCTGATAGAGCCTAAAAACTCATTTCAAAATTTCAGAATACAATCACAAGTATTAATAGCAGAACTGACCAAGCTGAGGAAAAAAAATCTCAGATCTCAAAGAATGGTTCTCTGCAATAACTTAGTCAGACACATATTAAAAATAAAAAAAAATTGAAGAAGAATAAACAAACCCTCTGAGAAATATGGTATTATGTAAAGAGACCAAATTTATAAGTAATTGAAAGCAAGAAATTTGGAAAACATATTTTAGCATATCATCCATGAAAACTTGCCCAACCTCCCTAGAGAACAATCTTTAAATTCAGGAAATGCGGAGAACATCTGTGAGAGACTACACAAAATAACCATCCCCAAGACACATAGTCATCAGACTTTCCAAGGTTGAAATGAAAGAAAAAATGTTAAAGGCAGCTAGAGAGAAGAGGCAGATCACTTACAAAGGGAACCTCATCAGGCTAACAGCAGTGTTGTCAGCAGAAATCCTATAAACCAGAGGAGATTGGGGTCCTATATACAGCATTCTTAAAGCAAAGAAATTCTAAACAAGAATTTCATGTCCAGGCAAACTAAGCTTCATAAGCGAAGGAGAAATAAGATCATTTTCAGATCATCTAAAGCTAAGGGAATTTATTACCTTCAGACCTGCCTTACAAGAGATCCTAAAGACAGTGTTAAATGCAGAAAGGAATAACCATTACTGCCTACTATAAAAACATACTTAAGTGCATAAACCAGTGACACAGTAAAGCAAGCATACAAACAAGTCTGCATAGTAACCAGCTAACAACATGATGACAAGATCAAATCTGCACATATCAATACTAACCTTGAATGTAAATGGGGTAAACGCCCCAATTAAAAGGTACATAGTGGCAAGTTGGAAAAAGAATTACCCAATGGTATGCCTCTCTCATATGCAATGACCCATCTGACATGCAATGACACTTCTAGACTCAAAGTAAAGGGATGGAAAAAAAATCTACCATGCAAACAAGAAACAGAAAAAAGCCAGGATTGCTATACCATTTTCAGACAAAAGAGACTTTAAACCAAAAGAGATTTTTGAAAGACAAAGAAGGGCATTACATAGTGGTAAAGGGCTCCATGCAGTTGAAGACCTAACTAGCCGAAATATATACATACCCAATACAGGAGCACCCAGATTTATAAAGCAAGTTCTTAGAGACCTACAAAGAAAATTAGATCACCACACAATAAGATTAGGAGACTTCAATACTCTACTGACAGTATTAGACAGATCATCGAGGCAGAAAACTAACAATGATATTCAGGACCTGAACTCAACACTTGGCCAAATAGACCTGGTAGACATCTGCAGAACTCTTCACTTTCAAACAACAGAATACATATTTTTTCTCAGGGGCACATAGCACATACTCTAAAATTGACCACACAATTGAGCATAAAACAATCCTCAGCAAATTAAAAAGAACAAAACAAACAAACAAACAAACAAAAAAACAGAAATCATACCAACCACACTCTTTGAGCAACCACAGTGCAATAATAATAGAAATCTTTACTAAAAAAAATCACCTGAAACCATACAATTACATGGAAATTAAACAGTCTGCTCCTGAATGATTTGGGGTAAATAATGAAATTAAGGTATACATAAAGAAATTCTTTGAAATGAATGAGAACAAAGATGCAACATATCAGAGCCTCCCACACACAGCTAAAGCAGTGTTAAGAGGGAAGTTTATTGCACTGAACACCCACATCAAGAAGTTAGACAGATCTCAAGTTAACAACCTAACATCAGACTCAGAGGAATTAGAGAAGTAAGAAAAAAACAACTCCAAAGCTAGCAGAATGCAGAAATAACCAAAATCAGATTTGAACTAAAGGAAATTGAGATGTGAGAACCACACAGAAGATCAACAAATCTATGAATGTGTTATT